TTATATTATTTTGGGCTGAACATTCATTTATTTAAGGCCCAATTCGTGGTTATTAGGTTTAGGACTTAGGGTGTTAGTTTCCTATTCTGATTAGGTTTAAGGCCCAATTCGTGGTTATTAGGTTTAGGACTTACGCCTTGTTTGGATAGAAAATAGTAAAGGGAAGGGAAGGGAGGGGAATGGAGGAAAATAAAAGGAAATGGAGGGGGAGGAAAAGAAAGGGAAGGGAAGAAAATAGAAGGAAATGATTTGTGTTAATTTTGTTTGGATAAATAAAAATGAAGAAGGGAAAAGGAAGGGAAGAATTGTATTATTTTATGTTTGGATAATTAAGGTAAAAGGAAGGGAAGGAAGGGAAGGATTTAAATTAAATTTAAATTTACAAATTTACCCTTTAAGCTTGTAATGGAGAAGAATATAATAAAAAAATTAAGGTTAATTTTGTAATTACATTTTGTTTAATGTAAACAACCACTCAAATCCCTCCCAAACCCCCCAAATCGGGCGGATTGTAAATCTGCAGATTTGAGAGGGGTTGAAGGGAGTCCGAATCAGTCCATCTCCCTCCCCCTCTGCCTCTTTGGAAACCCAAACAGGAGGAAGGAGACAGCTCCCCTCACTCCCCCTCCCTTGCCATCCGTCCCCATTCCTTCCCCTCCCTCTCCGTCCGACACCTCCAATCCAAACAATACCTTAGGGTGTTAGTTTCCTATTCGTGATTTTCATGGCTTGTAACCCTAATGGGGAGAAGGCTATTGAATCGGAGATTTTGAGGGACTTTTCTCTTTGGTTCGTTTCAGAACTTTACAGAACTTATCAAGAATTATTCTTGTGGCATTCTAACCTGACTTATCATTCTCGTTCCTAATTGTTCGAGGGTGTGGCGTCAACCAACTTTATACCTCTGGTTCTTGTTGCGTCATAGACAACGGGTCAAGGTTTTTAACTTTGGTTCTTGTTGCAACATAAACAACAGGTCAAGGTCCTATTATTAACCTGATTTAGCTTTCCTGGAGTTCAGAAATCCCTTGTTGTGCTGTGGGTCATTGTTCTCTTTGGGGTTCTCATCATCTTGGTATCAGAGCATCAGATCCCTAAATCAGGTTTGCGTATCTTTAGTTTTTTCAGTTTTTACATCAAAAGAAAAAAAAATTAGGGTTCTTTTCTTTCTTGTCTACAACTCTTTTCATCTTGTTCTGTTGAATCTGTGTTGCTGGTT